TGTTCTTGACTCTTTACATAAATTAACTCATTTTTATCCTCAGGACTAACATTTCCTCTTTTATAAATGAGGGAACAGAGACACAAAAGGGGTCTCTTTGGGCAATAGGAACTTGCCCATTATTACATATGCATAGCCAGGATTTGAACCACAAAGAATGAGTTGTGCTCATAATTCACTATTCTACCTCTATAGTAAATAAGGTATAAGTATAAGCAATGTGATGAAATCTAGGAAATAATATTGAATAAAAGAAAAGAAAACAAAAAAACAATCCCAGAAGAGGGCAACATACTATTGTATGTGATTTTTACACAGCTCAAAAGTAGCAATGAAAAATAGTATAGTGTATAGGGAACATACATAGGCAATATATACTGTATGTGGAAATATATGATAAAATATATTTAAAGATGAAAACAAAGGAAAGATAAACATAAAATCCAAGGCAGTCATTACTTCTGGGCAGCAGTAGGCATATGCAGAGGAATGTAAAAAAAGAAGGCAGCTGCTCCTGCAATCGATTGGTGATATGCTCATTCTTGAGTTGGATGATGGGTTCACAGGTGTTAGTTTTATTATGTTACTTTCTCACACATTTGTTATTAATATCCTCTTTTGTACCAAATGTTACATTTTAAAAGATACTAAAGCAAGAAATAAATAGAAAGTGAGATGGTAAAGAAAATAAGCTTTAGCTATATTTTCAAGGTGCTTGATTGGAAGGAAGGAAAGAGAGATGTGGTATCACCAGATAGATCCATGGTTAAGTGTGTATGTGTATGTCTTTAATGGGAGAGTCTGAATCCTGCTTATAGATACATAAGCTAGACTTGATATGACTTAGTGATTTTGTTTCCAAGAGGATATTTGGCAATTTCTGGAGAATTTATTTTTTTTATTGTCATGGCTACAGGGAGGGTGCTAGTGGCATCTAGTAGGTGCAATATCCTACCGTGCACATGTCACCCCATCCCCTACTAAGAATTATCCAACATGTCAGTAGTACCAAGATTGAGAAGCCCAAGGATAGAGAAAGCAAAGTAGGAGAGATTTAAAAATACAATAGCAGGCAAAATAATCAAGAAAGCAAGGTGTTGACAAGACAGGAGGAGAGCTTGGCCCCAAAGCAGCACATTACATCTCTAGAGCCTGCAGAGCACTGGAGAACCAACCCTTTCCTTAAGCTCACTCTACTAAACAGAATATAATGAAGTAGACCTTACTTCCTTTCGCTTTTACTGAAAACACACATATCAAGAGCCTACTGAGAGTTTTATTGCTATTCATTCCAGAGAAACAGGCAGGACAAGTACAAAATAAGAAATGTAGATGAGATGATACTACTTCAGAGCTAATAAAGCATTTGTCTCAGGACTTCTCCCTGGCACTTGCCCCTACGTTGGACCTGAAAGTTGTCTTTGCAATTTGGAAATATAGAAGTTTGAAATAATTTTATTACTTGAAAGGGCCCCCAAACTGTATAAGCCTTGAAAAATGAGGATTTACTCTTGAGTGCGGGATAGTTATTTAATTTAAAATTTTTATAGCTGCTTTCTCTGACCTCCTGGCTCGATGTCACCCTGAAGCTCAATGCTGCATACTATTCTATTTAGTTCTTTAAGATATGGTTTATAAAACCACATCACACTCCAGGTACTCTACCCTTATATAGTCTTCACAGATCATTTCCCCTATAAAAGCCTGTCTTTCTAGCATTAAAGGCCTGAGGGTACAATTAGGACAAAACAATAAATGAGAATAAATAGGCAATTCAATCTCCCCTACTCTTAGTGGGAATCACATTAGCATAAGGAGATGTTACCTTTTGGTCTTATGATCCACATAGAAAACAACAGCTCAGGAAAATTGTTATGACATTTTGTGCATATGAGTCACCTAGGAAACTTGTTATAAATGTGGATTCCAGGAGGCCCACTCTATGAGAGTGCTATAATATCCTGGCCCAAGGATGATAATTTAAGAACCACTTCCTTAATGCAAAAGTTCTTAATCTTCTAGATGTCAAATCTTTTGGGGGATCTTTTAATATTCACATACCATCCATTTTAATGTGAGGATCAATGTATGGAAGCCTTATTTAGAATACCTAGCTTAGATGTTCCTTCACAGAAAATCAGAGTATATAGATGGTATCCGTGAGGGAAAGAAAAAGTGAGCTAGTTAGGATTGAAGCAGATAAAAGATCAACCAAGAGATGAAAGAAAAACCCATTGAATTTGACTGGAAAGTTCATTATATGTATTATGTTCATCTCTCTCCATATATATTACATTACATTGTGTGTGTGTGTGTGTGTGTATATATGGAAAGAGAAGTCAAAAGTACTATAGAGCAAATAAAGATGTTAGAAAGGAAAGACGTAGGGTGAAATGCAATATTTGCTGCTTTCCATTCTCTAACTACTAAAATGATAGTAAAAAGATTAAAAAGGCATAATCCAAAAAGGACAAATAAAATTGGAGTATACATGCCAAAGAAATATCAGCAACATTTTAGAAACTCTGAAACATATGGGCAAGTGTTGACTGGCTTTGCACACTAGGAAAAGCAGAAATCTAACTGCCTGCAAGGTGAGAGGAGCCAAGAAGCAAGCTGATTCATAAAAAGAACCTCAGAAATTAGAAGACTAGACCGGGTAAGGGACGTTGTGGATGAAATTGGGAGAAACTGTTCAAAGTATTTATAATAAGCAGTAAGGCCAGACGATAAAGGGCAAACAAATCTGACTTACATGAGTCCCAAAAAAGAAAGTAAAGAGGAGAATAGAGGGAAGGAAACAAATCACAGAAATAATGAACACTTTCCAGACCTGAAGGCTATGGGGTCCCTAGTAGAAAGGCCCATTGTGTGTCAGTGCAACAGATGTAAAAAGATTGATGCTAAGGGAAACATGAGAAGGTTTTAAAACACATAAAGAGGGGATTCTAAATACATGGGCTCAGGAGTTGGGTGGTGGGAAACAAGTTACATCCAAACCTTTGAAATTTTAATAGCATCGGATTTTTCAGCAGCTATACTGAAAGTTTGAAAACAATGAGCGACATCCTTAAAATTCCACCTAAAATTTTATATCCACCTGTCAATCATGTGTGAAATTTTGAATAGTAAAGTTTTCAAATACAGAAGACTCAAAATTTGACTTTGGGTCCTTCTTCCAAAAGCTAGGAGAGAATATGCTTCAGCAACATGTCAGACTAAACCCACATAGGTGGGGAACCTAGGAAACTAACGATCTATACAGGTGGGAGGCCAAAAGGGTGCTCCAGAGTGGTTGTGAAGCTAAACTCCAATAGGACAATAGGACCATGAAGGATATCTTTAAGTATAAAAAACAAAACACAGGTCTTTGGGAGCTTGAGGCGGGAGGATCATTTGAGACCAGTAGTTCGAGACCAGCCTGGGCAACATAGTGAGATCCTGTCTCTACAAAAAATAAATAAATAAAAAGAAAAACAATGTTAACTGATGAACACTGATAAGTTTTACTGTATTAAGAGGAGTATAAAATCTCCTGTGGAGGGTTTGGTGAAAAATTAGTGAAACTTATGTCAGATTCTAAGCAAATGGGAAAATGGAATAATTTTTAATTCTAGGAGAAACTAGAAAACTGAAGACAGAGATAAAAACCTTATACTATGTGGCTTAGTAGTAAATACTATCTCTCTAATTATAATGTAAAGACATAATTATTTAACCAAAAATTGTGGCCTAATTATGTTAGAACAATGGAGAATAGGTGAGTGGAGGGTTGCTGGTGAGGTGTGGTACATAGATATTTCAGGTGTGGTACTGCAAGAAAAGAAAGTTAAAATCCTCATCTTCCCTAAAGTTAACAGATATTACTTAAAACTAAAGATATCTATAAAGAACAGCATACAAATGCTATTTTGAAATGTAGAGGTAAGACCAGAAGAAACAGTGAAGTTTAAAATTATTTCCCCTTTGGTGAAGAGTGACTTGGTAAAAAAAAAAAAAAAAAAGGAGGAAAGGAAAAAATAAAATGATTTCCCCTAGGAATAGTGAATTGGCCAAGACCAAGTAATGATGCTTTTCATCATAATTTTTAAAAAATGACTTTAGATAGAATCGGTGTTTCTAACCCAAAGAAATGTTAAATGTCTGAGGTGATGGATACCCCAATTATCCTGATTTGATTAATTCATATTGTATGCACGTATCAAAACATCACATGTACCTTATAAAGATATATAACTATTATGTACCCATAATAATTAAAAATAAAAAAATTATAAATGACTTTAGAAAATATGGATGTGGCTCATTTGACAAACATAAAAATAAATAAACCAATTTTTTAAAAAGCATATTTCATAATGCATGAATTTATGCCCAAAATACTGTGTTCTAAATATTTCTACACATTTCATGTAAGATTGATATAGTTCTAAAAAAATTAGTTCAATTCTACTCTGCATAAGTATATAGTATAAAAACCATTTTTCTCCTTACCATAGTAAAACTTTTTCAAAAGATGTTGGTCACTTATTTATTTTAACACTATATATTCTTCCACCAGGTTAAAGGAGCATCACCTAAATGAGTGAAATTACCAATAGAACCACATGAGCTCATTATATTGAGGTCATATATTAATTATTTCTTCAAGCTTGAATTTTGGAGTAATGAAGCTCAGAGGAACTGCTGGTAATTAGGCATGCTCCAAACCCAGGTCTCAGGACAGTGTGTGTGGTGACAAGGGCCACCATGCAAGAGGAATGTCAAATGCACCAGGCAAGAGTCTCTGGGAATCCAGATATCAGTGTTGTGCTAGGAAAGTTCATACATGATGATTTCTAAACTTTCCTGAAAATGATTTCATTTTAATGAATGTTTTATTTAAACAAAATTAATCATTAAAATTTTAAAGTCATCAACACAATGAAAAAAGGCAAATAATGTCCTTGGAATTTCCCCCTTTTCTTTCCCTTTTGAAATACAGTTCAGTGTTTCTATACCTCTCTATAGCCGTCATTGATTCTCTCCAAGCTGAGGGAATACACAAGGTCCCTGCCTCCCACGAAGAGTCGCTCTTGATATTCATCCAGCAGCATTGCATGGAGATCAAGGAATCCAAAAGGGCTATGAAATATTGATGTTCTGTTCAGTTCCAAGAGTTCTGAAATATAAAGAGATATGTACACTAAAGCCATCAGAAAATGCAAATACCTTCATAACATTTTCTCATAGCTCTATTTTCATCTCTACTGGAACTTGGTAGTGAACATTTATTTATCACAAATATACTGGCAATACATTCTAATGTGAACAAATTAAAATCTTTTATTCATTTATGAATCTAAAAACTTCAAGTCAATATGTAAAATATTCTGTTTTTAAAAACAGAAAAATGTCATCTTTGGCAATCTTTAATACTCTATGTGGAAAAGTATTTTACAACTTCTGTAAACTATAACAAAATTCCAAATTTACACTAACCCCACCCAAAGTGTGTTTATTTAATTCCAGATGAACACAAATGCAGAAAAATAATGTTTTTATTTGAAATTGGTTTTAAAAGTCACATCCAAAGCCAAATTTTCCAAGTCTGGGTTGTTAATACCAAGAGGCATTAACATGGTAACATTCAGAAAAGTGGGGAATCACTGATAAAACTGGTGGGGATCTATTTTCTACCATTGTGATTTTAGTTAATGTTCATGCATTCGTGTCTATGTCAGAAATTTAAAACTCTGTTTTAGTTACATACATTTAATTTTAAGAAGTCAGAATCTGGCAAACCTGTCGTGTGTACATTGTTTGTTTGTTGAAGGTATTTAATTACACATGGCAGTTCAGTCCTTAAGGTTGGTAAAATGATACATGAGAGCCTTTGGTGATGAGAGAATATTTTCCCAAAGAGTAGCCCCTGAATACTGAAGAATTCCTGAAGAGGACCCTTGGGAAATATTCACAAGTGAGAAGACAACGTCCTTTTCCAAGGCCAATGTCTAATGCATCTGACAGAGAATGTGATATCTTAATGACCAGGAAGCTAAACATTACATGGAAAAGGACAAAACTATAGTATTTTGCCACTACAGCACCTTCTGTTTCTGAGAAACAAGCTATGAAGTATCTATTCCCCACAATTAACAATAAATTCCTTGTCCATATCTTTGTGCTGAAAATATTGATGCCCAAAAATTTGTGGTGTAGGGTTCAATTTAAATATTTTAGTTTAAAAGAAGCAATACTGCTAAAATCAATATATTTCTTATAACAATAAATAAGATATTGAGGTGTTCAAGTCATATCAAGTTTTGAGGGTGAGAAGGAAAGAATAGGTGCTTTATTTGAAGACGGAAAAAAAGGAGTTTGAGAAATTAAAGGTTCTTGAACCCAAGAACCTTTTTCCTATTTAATAATTTTGTCAATGTAGAATCATACTATTTTCTTTACTAGGCATTGACACATAGCAAGAGAAGTACATTTTGGGGTCTAATGTCACAACAAAAATAAAGATCAAAGCCGTCTGTTGCCATTATACTTTGTCTTTACATATAAGCATTTATGATTTTCTATTAGGGCTGCCAAGTGGGCTCTTTCCCAGAAATGTTTCCACAATTATTCAAATAGTTTGGTAAAGTTTTCCAATTTTTATGCAAAGTGAATAATTACCCAAACAGGTCAACTGATAAAAAAAAAATGTGATAGCTACAATTAACAGGTTTCTAGACTTCTCAGTTACTAAAACTACTAAGGTGTAGAGTTTAGGAGACTAAGTTTGCTGGGAAATAAAAAGAAAGTCATGAAAGGATGAAAATATGAATGTCCTACAAAGTGTTGCCACAGTGGAGTAATCTGTACCAATCCAAAAAAAAGGGGTTGAATTGGAATAAAGGGCAGCCCAATCATTAAAGGAGGCACTCCATGAGTGAATTACATCTAGGGATGACCTTCTTTGATTCCTGATGAGGTTCTTAGTACTTTGTCACCTTTGTATACACAAGGCAAGATAGATACCAATTTTTACTTGTTTTTATGACTTGCCAATTTTTGGTAAACATAATTCTATTGATAATAATCTAAAGGTGGTAGTTCCCATTACTTTGTCAATAATAGAAAATAATTACTAAACCATCAATTTTATTTTATTATATGTTAACTCTGTTTGACCCATCCTCCTCTATGTCAAGTCTACAACACCACAAAGATGCACCCATGTTTCTGTGCATACATAGTAGGGAGAAAGCAAAAGGGAAAGAGCTAAAGTGTACATTCAACAAATGCAAACTTTGTAGATGTTGATTTTTAATGGTCTTCACATTTATCACTTTTTTCCTAAAACAGTAAGCAACCACAGTATAATGATTTAATAAATTACCAATGTCTTTTATTTTACTAATGGAAAAACTCAGGTGCCCAGTAATTTAATGACTATCTTATGGGAAATACACTATTACAATGAAAAAATGTTCAAAACATGACAAAGTAAAACAGATGTGTATATTATAATTGAAAGTTATAGAATGAGAATCTAGAAAGCCAAGTTCTAATCTTGGCTTTGACACAAATTGCCTAGGTAACCTTGAACAACCTCTTAAACTCTTTAGATTGGATTCCTCTCCTGTTAATTACCCTTCCACCTTTAAAATTCTTAATTATTTGCCTAAATTGCATTTCTAAAATGGAGGTGATAAGACAGTGTACAAAACCCAACATATTGGTATCTTACAGAGTCCTTTAAAGGACTTGCCTATATTTTTGGAAACTTAACAAAGGGAGTGAGTGGTCAATGAGTGAGTCTAAACATCACATGTTCTACATTTAAGCTTTCCTAAAGGAAAGTAGTTAGAAAATTCATTTACAACTTTTCACACGTTTTAATGATTATAGGGCCAGAGAATAATTTTTTTGAGTTATAAAGAATTTGAAGATTATTTAGCCTGATTTAGTCATACGATCTCACAGAAAATTGCCGCTAAGATATGTTTAGATACATAAAACTGAATATCATTATATAACTCAGGCAATGAGTCAAGAAATTATCATTTAATTCATAAAGATACTTTCTAGAATAATTTCTGAAATCATTTAAAAAACTTATAAAACCTAATGAATAGGCCATAATTTTCTTTAAACATTTCACAGTACGAGAGAAGTTAAGTATATTGAATGATTCTGCCACTCTCTACCCTCACCAATACCATACAACAGAACAGTGCCAATGATTGAATTCTCAAGAATTTCAGAATTGTCAGTAGATATATTATTTCATAATCATAGCACTAAACAAAACTTATCAGTGTAATGGTTTATATTTTTCTTGTTTACTTCCACAGGCATATAAATATTGATCTTGATCCTCAATTTTCCCTAAAACCTAAACTATTCATCCTAACTGGCTGTAATTCTCTAACATCTTTGAATGTAAGCCAGGAAACATTATCCGTTATAGGTAAATATTTGTGCTATATATATATACATATATATATACACACACACACATACATATTATTTATTTATCATTATTTTTTCAATATTAACTACATTGTTCTACTTTTGTTTATTCAATTTGCCTCTTCCCCAAAAGGATCTGAGATTACTTGTACAAATATATTTAGTTGAATAAACAAACATATTTCTAGGGGAGTGAGGAGAAGAGGAAAACAGAGTAAGATGAGAAGGCTAGAATAAATTAACTGAATCATCTTCTAATATCCAATACACTATTAAAGTGAATCCCAAAATTGATCTCAGGCTTCCAAAAATCCAAATTAAAAGTAACTATAATAGAAGAAGAATAAAACTGTATCAGTTGGTCAGTAGCATTACCTAGTATTAAGAACTAAGATAATTTCTCCTGAGGGAAAAATTATCTTAATGGGAATGCTGAAAAATACTATGCTGACCACTCAAAATCACTAAGAAATCTGGTGCCAAATTCATTACTCCTGCTTATAATTACATTCCTTAATAAAAGCCAACTAAACTCATATCAAAATGTACTCTCCCAAGAGTGGCTTTATGACCATGGGTGGCCATGTTCCTTAGGACATTGATGATTGCAATAAACAGGGATTAGAGTATGCAAATCCAAGGACATTTCACCAGACCTCATTGGTAACTGGAAAACTGATAGAAGCCCAGGTAATTTAACTCAGGAGAAGCTGCATCTTTGCTTGTTGTTTCTCTTAATGCCACTGCTTCACTGTACTGATTCTAAAGGTTGGTCCATTCGTATGCTCATTGCCAAATACATCTGTTAAGTCCCCAGTTGCATATGACCTTCCACCTCCCACCCCACGTCTGGATGACAACAGTTCCTGCACCTCTTAGTTCAAATTCTCAAGGAAAAGAATGTAATTGATTCAGCCAGTGTTCACAATTCATAGACTGCTGGCTCCTTTAGATTGGCTGCTTTGTGATCAATTATCCATCTGTGGTCAAATGTGCAAGCCACACGGTTAATAGTGTGGTCCCTATAATTAATGTATATGGGATCAGAGCAGGCATCATGATGCTTATTTCAATTCTACAGGCAAATTTATCCAGTCTGTCTTTATTAATTAATAATTTGATAATAACATAAATTTGTTATAACCTGTAATTCTAGAAGACTGAACAAGTTGACCTGCTATTTATAGATGTTCTTTATAATTACATATTGGAGAATATCTGCCAATAACAAAAATCTGAGTTTTTCAATAATTGATTTTGAGTCATCTTTTCTGATAATAACTGGATTTATATAGTCACTCACATTATTGGAGAATAAACCTTCATGTTAACATAGAGAAGAATATTTTTACTTCCAATCTATTGAGATGGAGAACCATTCATCTATCTTACCCATATGGCATTTTTAGGAATTGAATTATACTTTATTTTTTACAAAAGCATTATAAACACAAAAGCAATTAATAAGATAAAATCACTAAAGTTTGATAAATCATAGAATTCTACAATTTAGAGAAGAAACTAAAACATTATTTGGAATACATCTGAAAAAATACTTATATATGCATGTAAGGAAATAAACCGTTCTTTTAATATGTTGAAAAACTATTTTAAAGAAACAAAAAATTATCACCTTTGTTCTATAAATAGTATGTCATTTAAAAAAGACACACAAAAATGAATTCACATAAAAATTCAGCCTCATTAAGTATTCAA